ATAATTCTCTCAAAAAGCTTACCCAGGATCGAGGTAAAGACTAACTGGTCTATAGTTCCCCGGATCCTCCTTCCTCCCTTTTTTGAAGATGGGAAACACATTGGCCCTCTTCCAGTCCTCTGGCACCAGACCAGAGCACCACGAGTGCTCGTACAGCCGTGCCAGGGGTCCTGCAATGACCTCAGCTAATTCCCCCAGCACTCTGGGGTGGAGATCGTCCGGACCAGCTGATTTAAACACATCCAGTCCCTCCAGAAGTTCCCTGACTAGATCCTCACTGACCCTTGGCCTGGATGTGCCTCCCCTGGGGCCTGAGGAGGTCCCAGTGGGGGGGCTGATCTGGGCCCTGCTTAGGAAAATGGAGGCAAAGAAGTCGTTAAATAGGTTAGCTTTGTCGTCTGGTGTGACGACCAAATTTCCTAGCGTGTCTTGCAGGGGCCCCACATTACCCTTCTTTTTGCCCCCTATGTATTTAAAAAAAGACTTGTCGTTGTCCTTGATCCGGGTAGCTAGTCCAAGTTCCATCTCCGCCTTGGCCTTCCTGACTGCCCCCCTGCATCCCCGAGCAACCGCAGTATAGTCCTCCCTGGTGATGGCCCCTCCCTTCCATTGGGTGTATGCCTCCCTTTTTATTTCAATATAAGAAGTTGCATAAATAAGCAAGAAAGCTTTGGCCTTTGATAGCCACCTGAAATGATCAGTTGGATGGTCTTCCCTTTACTGGAAAGGGAATATAAAGATTGACCAGCATATGAGCATTGTAAAGATTTGGGAAGATATAGCAGCAAAAGCTAGGGCCAGTCATTGCTGAGTGAAACAAGTTACGGTAGTTCGATGTGTGATGTTACACACATTAATTAATGGGTTAATAAGGATAATATCCCCATGACCAGAATTTTTCCTTTATAAACATGGTTTGCTTACTGCTGATAAAAGGCATTGGATTAACAGCCCAAGTGAATTAAATTCTCTGTTGATCTGCCAGGCAAAAACAAGGCAAACTTTCCATATGCACTGCTTTACCACCGTGCCTCAGTCTTGATTTGAGTTTCTGCAAGGGGCAACATGGGTAGTTTGGCAGGGCAGTTCTTGTAAATGTACTGCATGTTAATGTAAAGCATGTTAGTTAGTTTGTGATGCAGAACCTGGAAACCAACCCTGTCCAATTTGTCTCATATATGAGCTAGCAGACATTCTTTGAATGAAAACAAGCTTTCTATCAAATTGATGACTTGCAGATGAAAGCCTCTTGAGATGATTAGCAAAGCTTAGGCAAAACTAGTGCCCCAGTAAGCATCAATTTAAGAGTGGTGTTTATAATCTGTGTGTTTGGTATGTAGGTGTGGGTTTGCATGCTCCTGTTGTTTCTGGGCAATGTTTGGTTTAGCGTGTATCTATAGTCAAGAGAAGTTTGTGAAATTAAAAAATGAGCTATAGTTGGACAATAAATTTTTTTATGTGGACAATATGTAGCAGCATGTACACTTTTCTTGGTGTGCAGATGCCCAGCTGTAATGCTATCTTCAGGGAAAAGATATACCTTGGTTTGGGGAAAAGAAAGACATCTATTGATTTTTTTTTTTTTCCCCTTGTAGGGATTGCCTTTGGTGCTTCCTGCACCCTGAGCCTGGTGGAAAAGGTGCTGAGTAAAGCTGTAGCTGAGCTATCTCCTTACAAAACAGAGGTGTTCAAGGCTGTACTAGAGCAACTGCGATGGTTTGCAGGACTGCAGATCAGAAACGTGGCAGTAAGTGACTGAGGAAAACAAGTGAATTAATGCTGGAGGCAGGGACAGCTTAACTCAGACTGAGTAACTGACCTCCCTTATTCTAATATTACATGTTCTTAGTGCTCCTTACACAGGAATATTTGAAAGATGACATGTCCCTTTCCTGTAGGTTTTTCCCCCATAAAACACCTCTGGTGATCCATGGGAGCTGGTAGCCAGGCTACAATGTATTATGTCTCCTTATGAGACTGCTTTCAGGCTATGTGTGAAACTAGTAGCTTAGAAATCCAGAAATGCATTTGGATGCTTATCTTGCTGGGGCCATTTGATTCCTGCAGACTTCTGGCCTCTGGCAGGGGGGCTGGACTCAGTGATCTCATGAGGCCCCTTCCAGCCCCTAATGTTGAATCTATGAAATCAGAGAGGAAAATATCACTCATTTGAAGCATTTATGACTGCTATTAGGACAACTGGGAAAACTGTAGAGCACCCTGTCAATGAAGAGACATTTTATTAGGATACATTCAAGGAAGAGGCATAGCTGCAAAGAGTAAGTAAGGGCCATGTGTTCATTCAGACTTTTACTAGCATAGTTATGTCAATCAGGGGTGTGAGAAAGATGGACATAACTGTACTGGCATAAGCCTGTAGCATAGATGCAGTAATACCAGTAAGCCTGTGCTGTTATTGGTATAGCTTGTTTTGCTGCAGGAGTGATGGTATGATATGAGCTGTGCTGATTAAAATGCAGCTTTGCTGGTATAAGTTATGTCAACTGCAGGACACTGAATGTTAGGAGAGTAGCCTGGTATAGCTATCCCGGCAAAGCGTTCCTAGTGTGGACATGACCTAAGATAAATGCACAACCTTAGTGTTGTCCCTAGGTCTGCAAGCAATAGGGGCTTGGTTCAGAAGACAGCCCTCAACGGGGCAAAATCCAGGCCATGCAAAAACATTAAAATAATAACGTATTTGTAGCCTGTTGGAATACATTAAAATGATCTTGTCTTAGGTTGTGCCATGTTGGTCAGTTAGTCTCAATAAATTAGTGAGTGTTAGTACAGTAGCAAGACCTTCACCTTCCATCTGTTTGCTAATTCGTATATCTTATATACTTGACTCTAGTCTCTCGGAGGGAATATAATGACTGCCAGCCCAATTTCTGACCTAAACCCTGTATTTATGGCAAGTGAGACCCAACTGACTTTGGCATCAACAGGTAAGTTACTTAATGTTCTAACTGGCAATGACAACTGGTCTGTACAAGACAATGTAGTGTTTGCTATGCAGGGATGCCTGAGCCAACTCTAAATGTGATGGCTTGGCTATTGGAAGCTGCCTAGATTATTAGGAAGCAGGCTAAAAAAGCCCTGACAAAGTCCTTCATTCAGAGTTAGTTATTCACCATGGCATTACATTGGGCCATGTAGATATATCCCTAGGGTAGTCATAACTAGGGCTGTGTGAAAGAGCAGTGTTCTGCTTTGGCATCCATTTCGATGGAACAGTTTTTTTGTTTCAAGTTTTATTTTGATTTGAAAACACTGTTCTGTTTCGACTCATCAAAATGGTTTCGCTGTTTCGACATTTCGATCTGGCGGGGGAAGGGAACAGAGCAGAGCAGCTAGTATCAGGCTGGGGAAGGGAACTCAGCCCAGCTATCACCTCCTACACATGTGCTTGTATTAGCATGCAGTAAATTCATTAACTCTGCTGTAGGATAGTACTGTCTGTGACAAGTTGTATCCTATGGCAGAGTCACTTAGTGCACTGAAATGCACATGTAGATGCTGACCGGGGCTGGCTGGGGCATGCTAGCCCCATACGGTAGTACCCTTGTGCTCCAGCTAGCTCCTCCACAGCATGTTGAGCCAGGGTGAAGCAGCCCTGGGGTCACAGGCTGGCCCCCTGGACCTTCTGTCAGCTGGGGCTGCTCTGCTCTGCTCTGCTCTGCTCTGGCTCAATGTGCTGGGGTCCTAGGTGCATGTGTAAACACTCTGCCTGGGAGCAATACATTCTAGCTTGAACTGTGCTGGAGTTTATTGCTACATGCTAATTGCATGTGTAGATGTGCCCTCTCAGATCTACGTGGCTGAAGAGAACCACAGGGCCTATCTGGATTTGTCAGCCTTAATAAAAAAGCCCTTTTGTTTAAAAGATAAATAAAAAGGAATCTACCACACTGTGATTACATGTGCACAGAGAGAGTATGAGAGAAATTGGAATTGATTGGAGAAGAAGTAAAGGGGTTATGCTGACTATACAAGTGACTCAAATAGTTCCATCCCCATAGATCCATGACCCTTTTTTAAGACCAGGGAGGACACCTGTCTTTTAGTCTTAAAAATAATAAAGTCCTGCATAGTATTTGCGACTCAGAATACATTCTGCGCATGGGGTTTGATCCCAGTGTGTGGGGCTGGGTGGAGGCAATGCAGAGCCCTAGATCTCGATCCCCCGCATGTGGGCTGTGCAGAGGTAGCATGGGATCCTGGGGTCTCAGCATGTGTAGCTGGGTGGAGGCGGCACAGGGCCCCGGGGCCCAATCCCAGTGCAGAAAGCCCAGTGGAGGTGGAGTCAGGTGAAAGCAGTTTGGAACCCTGGAGCTCGATCCCGGCATGTGGGGGGCTACGCAGGGCCTCAGTGTCACATCCTAGCATGTGGGGGTAGCTCTGGATCGGATCTGCCTATCAACTGGCCTGTCACTCATCTGGTCCATTGGGCCAGACAGTTGAGTGCCACTGCTTTAGAGAATTAGGAAAGGGCTGACTTGCCAGGTTTGCTTGTAACTGGTGACAAAAGCACTTTGGAATGATGGAAGCACTCAAAGTTTTGGAATGAATTGGGATCATTATGATACATCCCAGTCTTCCCTTTCTGTTTAACTCAGTCTGTGTGCTTGTAAAAGTCCAAATGAAATCAATGAAAAGTTATGCCTGTTTTAGGACTGAATTAGTATTGAGAAAGGACTTCAGGTTCTGGCAAAAGATAAAATATCAGAGGAAAAATAACTAACATCAGTTCAAATTTGTCTTATGTAACTGCAAAATCTTTTTTACGTGCCTGACAATGACTTTTTATCTAGATGAAGCTGGAGCGTGATAACAGACTCCCTCACCCCATTGTTCCTTTTACTACTTTTTGTTCTCCAGAGGGCAAAAGGATTGTAACAATGGATGAAAAGTTCTTTACTGGCTACAGAAAGACAATGCTAAAGCCTGAGGAGATACTGTTGTCAGTTGAGATACCCTACAGCAGGAAGGTGAGCTGCTGGGATTAGTCTAATGGCTGGGTAGAACTGAGTAGTGTAACTCACCTCTCCTTGAAGGTCGTATTCCAGTAGAGGCAGGCTAAGCAAGCCCTAACTGGATCATCCAGAAGGGTTTCCCCGCCCTGTGGTTAACTTGACAGAACATCTGTCTAAGTCCAGATCACAAGTTATTGATTTGAATTTTGGCTAAGGTAGTAGGCAGGGTGCTCATCTAGTAAAACCAGACAGTTGGATATACTCTTCTGCTAGTTCCCCACCACAGAATCAAAGCTGATTTTGGACTGCTTACGCCCTATGGAGCAGACTGACAACCCCAGAAGTAAAGGTGTCAGGGCATGGGGTCAGTTAATTAGTTAATCAGAGCCTGGATTGCTTTGCTAGAAAAGATATGAGTGATTTATGTATTTACCTATTCATTTATGATGAGCATAGGACAGAGAAAGGAAAGCAAAATTAAGGAGAAATGCCTATGACAATGAGAAGACTGCCAAGGCAGTTGTTAATTAGTACAGGGACTAATCAGGACAGCAGAAATTTTCATGCTGGTTCTTTTGAATTAATTAATATCCTGAGAAAGGTGCTAGCTTACTACTCCTGAAGACTGAAGTTCCCTTACCCTGGAACAGGTACTGTGTACCCTGGTAACAGTACAATCTGCACCAGTTCTTATGCTTCTTGACTGTGACCTCAGAAGGGAATAGGATGAGGTCTGTAGGGATAAGAAAATAGTATGGTCTTCGTATCCATCCAGTCTTTGGCTTGTTTCTTGAGACCAAAAACATGGAATCTGGTTCTGTTTGTGGGTTTCTTTTTATTTTGTTTTGTTTTTTACGGTGTGGACTTTACTCTGATGGGACCTGGATGGAGCCCACAAAACTAATTTCAGATTGAGCAATAGACAGGTCTGTTCAGTACTGGCCTGAGTCAGATTTGAACCACTGCCCAAGAGGTAAAAGTCTCCTTACCGCATTATCAGGCTTCTGAATTATACAGCCATCTTCAGCCTTGATTTAGCTTCTTTTGTGTCTATTGAGACATTTAAAAATATACTGGTAACTAAAAGTGATGTGATTTGATCATAGTAGAGGTAAGAGGGAAGCATGACTGGTACAATGATGCAATCTTTTTGTTGATGAAAAGTGTTCTAGCTATTACAGTTTGAAGGTCTGGTACATTAAACAATAAACCTTTTGTCAGGTTATGATTATTCTGCAGTTCAACTCGTATATCTGTATTCCAGACTATTAAGGGAAATGGGGTATTTTATTTGTTATGTTTTTCTTTTGAACCGTTGCCCAAATCAATGAAATCAATGGACAGCTCTATCTGTCACTATGCATATGACTATGTTAAGGGAGCTTGTGCTTTGGCAGGTCGTGCAAAGTGATTACGATGTATTATCAGCAAGGAAACCACCGTATGACTTGTAGGTCAAACCAGACCACTGATTTGTAAAACCAGATCAACTTTTGAACTTTAGGTCATGAGCTTTTGATTGGTCTTTGACTCATGGGCATCAACCAAGCAAGACTAATGTTCTTCAGTGGGAACCTTAATGTGAAGGAGGATAATTATGGAATATGGCCTCTTAGCAGTTGGTACGGCAAGTGGAAGACACTGCAGGTTTATCATGGCACCAGTATGAAGGACCTGAGTTGCCATTGTGTCGAATTTTATATTTGTAGGATTCAGTAGTTTTCATGGCATTGCACCAAAGGAAAGCTGATGTGCTGAAGGGAAGAGTCAGACCTCAAATCCCCAAATGTTCAGGAGTTTTCACTGCTACTGTAGTTTGTGAAAAAGCAAGTGAGTTTTACTGTGTGAAAACAGTATTTCAGTATTGAATGAGCTGGTCCTTCTGTCTAGTTTGCACTTCAGGGATGAAAAGCTCGATACTGGTCAGAAGTGGTTATAGTGGTGCAGCATAGCAGTGTTTAGAATTGGAAACTTTAGAATAGCATTTTAGAAAACTAGATATGATGCATTTTATTAAAATTGCATGGAGTTTTGAGCTGTGATAAAGGTAGATGAACAGCTCTGTAAAAAGTTCCCAGAAGACAAGATAATTTTTAGCTTCTGCTGTATAATGTGACTTTTCTAGACAACATCCCTTCTTCTTCTGAGGAATCTATAAAAATTCACACTGATTGTGGGACATTTCCACTGGCCTTCATCTTTTATACTGATGAATTCAGTCATAAGGAAAAGGTTTTCCCAGCAGTATAACTAGGTGTGAGGGAGTAGGCATGGGCACTGATTTAGAGGACTGCCAGACTGGCGGTTCCCAGGAGCCCATTCATCCATTGGCAGCAGCAGCCACCAATGTGTGGGCAGAAGCAGTAGAAGCTTGGATGTTTGAGGGTCCCATACGACTTCCCCCACTCCACACCACTCTCCTGCTCTCTTGTCCTTGATGCCTCCCTCCATCTTCCCAGCTGTCTGTTATCTCTGCCCAGGGCACTATATTTGCTACTTATAGTCCTGAACATTGACTGTGGTAAAGTTTTTTAATATGACATAAATTGGGGCTGCTACTGCAAGGCCCATGCAGGTGACAAGGAAGACAATGCTAGATTTGCAGATTTGTATTCGTAACCTTTGCCGCTAACAGGGAAACTCTTTCTCACAATGTCTTCAATACAAAAGCTGCATGTTTACTGTGAGCTAACTGGCACGTATTACCTGTATAAAGCCCTGGCAAGAACACACTATAGTTTAGACAAACTAGGTTAACTCAGCCATTGGCAGGCGCTGTAGGGTTGATTTCACCTTGCTGTTGCAGGGTAACTATCACAGGCGTCTTGTTTCCAACAGGCAATCAGGACTCATAGTAGAGATGATATCTTTTATTAGGCCAACAAGATTTGTTTCCAATAGGATTTTCAGCAAGTTAATTAATGCACCTTTTTGACCCTGAAACACAGCCTCAGATAGGGAGTCTGCAAGAGTACTGCTAAGTATCAACCTTTTGCTGAAATCTCATTCCTGGAGAGCTCCACTGAAATGCAGAGGTGAAGGGGGAGTCAGCATTTATTCCTCTTTGATAGTTAATTGGCTTAAAACGCAAAGCAGCAGAAGCAGATGCCCTTTCCACAAAGGGCTGATACAGGCTACTGTCATGGTATCTGCTGGCTGCCCATGAATTAGGTCAGGAGCAGAAAGATGCATCCAGGAGGTGAAATGTGTGTTTTAGTTGCATATTGTGTTGGCAGTGCACAAAACAGCCCTCCCACCCCCCGAGAAACTGCATTCACTAACAATAGAGGATTTTTTTTTTTTACATTAAAGGAATAAATGCTGATTTTGATTGGGGAAGATTAATTGAACAGATCTTTCTGTAAACCCTTTACAGCTGACTACCAAGAAGGAAGACACACTGATATTTTCCTGCTGCAAAATGCCAGTAACTTCAAACTCTTATAGCCTGAAGGAACAGAAGAGAGGAATCGGTTTTATCATGAACCAAGAGCTGGTTTAAACTGGCATAATTGTAGACTATTAAGCATCATTAGTTGCAAGTGAATTACTGAGCTTTGTAATTTTAGCTGTTTGTGCTCTGAAGAAAATGAAATAGTTTGTGCAAGTCCATGTGTGGAGCATGCATTAGGGAACACAAGGCTGTACTGTGTTTTAGTAAGTGCAAGGCAAAGTCCCCTGCACCAGGCATACTCCTGCTGGTCTTTTCTCTGTCAGCACTTCTCATAAGTTCAATTATGGAGCTTAGTTGCTAACTTGACCCCTAGAGAACAAGCTTTAAGCCAAGCATTGGGCCCTGCAGGCCAGATGAAAGGAGCAGGGCCAGTCCACAACCCAGATCAGACCTATGGACCCCTTCCACCTGCATGCCTCATCTAGCACTGTTGGCACCCAGCCAAGCCAGTCTGGGATCCTGGCCTAAGTGGGTGCCATGGGCAGTAAAGTCTGGGACTGGCCCAAGTGCTGCGGGCAGTGCGTGTCCCAGGCATTGTGCGCAGATATAATCCAGCACAACAAATGGGGCAGCACAGGGGCCGGATTATGGAGCTGTGCAGGCTAGATCCAGCCTGCAGGCCCTATGTTTGACACCCCTGCTTTAAAGAGATACTTGTGAGGAAAACACAGAATTTAAGAAGTAGATGCAAGAGAAGAAGCAATGTGTTTTTTGAAATAAGGCAGAGATGGAGACATGCAGGAACTCTATTCTGGGTGGTGGGATTGGCTGAAGAGAACTGCCTCTGCATTTTTTTGAACAAGGAGAAGGGTATAAGGCTAAGCTGTACTGTTGGAAACATATGAACTAGACCAGGGGTGCTCAATGCCCAGTTTGTGGGCCAAATCCTGCCCATGGAGCCATGCCGTCTGGCCCACTGGGCTCCTGACAGGCCTCTAAATTTGGCAGTGGGGAAGTGGCAATAATTAACACTGCCATCACTCTCCTGCCACCAAATTTCTGAGCCCTGAGGCAGCTGGATTGGCCCTGGCTGAGCTAGCCCTGTGCAGAGGGATCAGCCTCTGCTGATGCTGGTCGCATGTGGCTGCATAGGGCCCTGACTCTACACAGCTGGATCAGGCCCCAGCCGGGCCTGCACCTTATGCTAAGGTGGGCCCATGGACCAAGTCCAGCCAATGAACTGACCTAGCATCACACCTCAGGCCTGCGAGGCAAAAAAGGATGGGCATCACTGAACTAGATCGATGAAGCGCTTGAAAACAAACTTTAGGGTCCATTTAGAAATAAGGAGAGTTTGGATCCAGGGTTTTAGTCTTGTCTGTTTGTGACATTCAGTTCTGTATAAATTCAGATTTCCAAGATTTTGCAAATTTTGGATTGCTTGGATTTGGGTTGTCCTGATTAGGACTGTGTCTAATCCATGTGAGAAATGAACTGGAATGGTTGAGTGAAGTCCTTAGTCATTCATTTCTTTTCCAAAGCTAGAGAAAAAGAAGTCAGAAACAGAATATTTTGGCAGTCAGAATATTTCTAGAGAGAAGCAGGATATTTTTAAGGGAGTGCTTTTTTCAAATTTCTGAGGATGCATAAGTGGCTTTATCACATCACCTAGAGGCCTGAATTTTTCTTAGCCAGTCTAACACACATGTGAATCGTGTGAAAATTGGTTTTGTCAGAGCAAATGATCTGTCCTTCATAATGCAAAGCAACATCTTTAGTTGGGCTTCTCTTTGATATGCCATCCACAGAGAGAGATTAGCATGCTGTCCACATTCTCCTATCCTTACTTTTGACCCAGGTAGTGAATAAATTCTTTTTCTTCCCCTAGGGTGAATATTTCTCAGCCTTCAAGCAGGCTTCCCGGCGTGAGGATGACATTGCTATAGTGACCTGTGGAATGAGAGTCCTGTTTCAAGAGGACAGCCATCGAGTGCAAAAGATTAAACTGAGCTATGGAGGAATGGCTCCCACAACTGTACTGGCAGTAAAAACTTGCCAGAAACTCATTGGAAGGTAGGAGAATCACCATGGAATCATAGAATAATATGGTTGAAAGAGGACTCAGGAGGCCATCTAGTGCAACCAGTTGTTCAAGGCAGGATCATCCCTGAGTATAGAATCATAGAAAATTAAGGTTGGAAAGGACCTCAAGGAGGTCATCTAGTGCAGTGGTTCTCAAACTTTTTTGTACCAGGACCTATTTGCCAAGATTGATGGCTTGTCCTGACCCACTCCCCCCTGGCCCTGCCAGCACCCGACCCACAGTGCCCTGCCCCTTTGGGCCCTGCTGGTGCCTCTCACTCCTGATCTGCAGCCCCCTGCCCCTCCCAGCCTGGCTGGAGGGGGCCCCTAGCTGCCTCTGTCCCACTTGGGCCAGAGTGTGAGCAGCAAATGTGGGCCCCTGTGTGTATGAGCACTGGCTTGTGCTGCCTGACCAGGCATACAGCGCCCTGCTGCAAAGGACTGTCTCTGTCTCCTTCCCTCACTGCAGGCAGGCAGGCAAGGAGGCAGACACACACACATATCCCAAGCTACCTGGACAGTCCCTTGGACTTCCATCCCCTACTCCACATACTTACCTGTGTCCAATGGCTGGGGCTACTCCCATGACCTGGCCTCACTCTATGCTGGCCACATGTGTCTACGTGTGTAGACACACGTGCGCCCACTGCCTCCAATCATTCCAAGCAGCTGCTTGCAGGCCAGAATGCTGCCAGCCTGCAAGGGGAAACCCTGCTTTTGTGGGTTTTTCTGGGGACCTGCAAGTGACCCTTTCAAATATACTTATGACCCACTTTTAGGTTGTGACCCACCAGTTGAGAAATGCTGATCATTTCCAACCACCTGCTCTAAGCAAGACCATCCCCAACTAGATCATCCCAGCCAAGGCTTTGTTCAGACGGGTTTTGAAAGCCTCCAGGGATGGAGCTTCCACCACCTCTGGGAAACCTGTTCCAGTGTTTTACTACCCTCCTAGTGAGAAAATTCTTCTTAAAATCTAACCTAAGCTGTCCTTGCTGAAACTTGAGACTATTGCTCCTTGCCACTGAGAACAGTCGAGCTCCATCCTTTTTCGAACCTCCCTTTAGGTAGTTGAAGGCTGCTGTTAAGTCCCCTCTCAGTCTCCTCTTTTCTAGACTAAATAAGCCCAGTTCCCTCAGTCTTTCCTCATCAGTCATGTCCCCCAGCCTCCCCAACATTTTTGTTGCTCTCTGCTGGACTCTCTCCAATTTGTCCACATCCTTTCTGTAGTGGGAGGCCCAATGACTATTCCAGCCAAGTGTTTGTCTAACCTAGTCTTAAAAAAATTCCAAGGGTGGAAGTCCACAACCAATCTGGGTAGATTTTTTCCAATGCTTGGCCAACACCATAATTAGAAAATTCTTCCTAATATCCAACCTAAATTGTCGTTACTTCAACATAAGGTAATTGCTTATTGTCCTGTCCCCTGTGGCCACATAGAATAAACTTCTCCATCCTTAATATAACCACCCTTCAGGTATTTGAGGACCATGAATGCCTTGCGCCTCCCGAGCCTGTGGGGGGGGCATGGCAACTGCCCACAGGTGGTGGCGGGGGCATGGCAGTGGCGAGCAGGGACCGACAGCAGGTGACTGCAGCCGTGGTGGGGGCAGGGGGGGGGCAAATGCCAACTGGCGGTCGGTGACTGCCCACAGACACTGGGCAGTCTTCTCTTCTCCAAACAATATAATTCTAGTTCTTTCAGTCTGTCCTCGTAAATCATGTTACCATGCCTCTAACAATTTTTCTCTCTGTTGGACTCTTTCTAATTTGCCCTTGTCTTTCTTGAATGAGGAGTCCAGAACTGGACCCAGTATTTGCACTGATGAGGCCTCATCAGGAGTACAGAGAGGAATCACTTTCCTTGATTTGCAAGTGATGCTTCTTTTAATAGAGCCCATTATGCTATGGGTCCTTTTTGCAACAAGGGCACACTGTTAGCTTGTATTTAACTTACGGTCCACCATAACCCCCATGTCCTTTTCTGCAGTACCATGTTCTGGCCAGGCCTTCCCCAGTGTGTATTTGTGCAACCAAGTTTTCCATCCTAAATTCAGTTGCCCTTGTCCCTGTTGAATCTCATCTGATTGATTTTTGGACCATTTCCTCAGTTTGTTGAAGTCGTTCTGAATTCTAGTCCTGCTGTCCAGAGCATAGGCAATGCGTAAGGGGGACACCGGTGGGGGGGATGTGCCCCCCATGAGAGTGCTGGTGCCCCCTTGACAGAGCGCTCCAGCTGGTAGGGGGCATGGAAAGTGGTAGTGCCCCCCTGGGAAATTGGCTCCACTGGTGGCACAGCAGCGGCAGAAGTGCCAGCACTTTCAACGCCTCCATGCTGCATGCGGAAGTGCTGGGACTTCCACCAGCGCTGTGCCACATGCGGAAGTGCCAGCACTTCTGCTGCTGCTGTGCCACCACCATGCTCAGCGAGCAGCCACTGGCCCCTCCCCCCGGTCACCAGCTAGCTGCTGGGGGAACACCCCCCCTAGTCGTGTTCCACTGCTGCCCCCCAGACTTGGGAGGAACCAGTTGCCCATGGTCTAGAGTGTCTGCAACTCTACCCAACTTGACGTCATTTACATATTTTCTAAATATGCACTCAATCCCATCCTGCAGGCCCAGGAAAGCAGGACAGACCCCTAGGAAACTCCACTCAATACCTCTTCCAAAGTAGACACTGAGCCATTGATGACTGTTCATTGAGCACAATGATCCAGCCGGTTATGAATCCACCTTACAATACTACCATCTAATCTGCAATTCCTTAGCTTGTTAATGAGAACGTTGAGAGAGACAGTGCCAGAGGCTTTGCTAAAGTGAAAGTATATCACATCCACTTCTCCCCACCCCCACTTCTCTTCCCCACTTCTCTTCCCCATCTACTCAGCCTGTCACCTTGCCATAGAAGGAAATCAAATTGGTTAGGCATGACTTGCTCTTGATGAATCCATCCTGGCCGTTCAGGGCTGTATCTGATCATCAGGGATCCTGGTTTTCTCTGTTAAAAAATCATAAATTCTCTGATTTTAAAACATTGCAAATTCTCTGATTGAAAAACCCCAAATTCTCTCATTCCCCACCTACAGCACCCTACCCCTGCTGGTGCCCCTCAGTTCCCACCCACAGCCCTCTCCCCCCCACCCTGCCAGAGAGGGTCCCAGCTGCCAGAGCTATGGGGTCAGGGACCATGGGCTGCAGCCCCCTGCCCCCTGCAGCAGCACCCAAGCCCCAGCTGCTGCCTGTGAGAGGCAGTGGCTGTTGTAGTGGAGCAGTGTGGAGCCTGGCTCCCCCTTCTCCATGGGTGGCATGGCTGGAGCAGAGCCTATGGAGTCAGGGGGTGGGCCCTTCACCTGGGGCCTCTGTGGCCCAATGAGTGAGACCTGGTGTGGCAGGGCAGAGCAGGATGAGTAAGCTCAGTGCTGCTGTTGCGAGCCAAGCACCACCATGGCGAAGCACCTCCTGCCTGTCCAGCAGCAGCGGGCTGATGGTGCAGAGTTGTGCCTCCTGCTGCTGCTGGGTGGGCAGGGGGCACCTTGCCATGGTGGCGTGGGGTTTGTGGTGGTGGCTTTAAGTTTCCTCACCCAGGCCTGCTCTTCCCTGCCACACTGGGTCCTGCCTGCTGGGCTATGGAGGCCCCGGATGGAGGGCAGCAGGGCGGGGAGCCTGAGCTCACAGTGGGCAGTCTGCACCCACCTCATTCACAAATCAGGGGGGCATTTTCCCCCTACATCCTTCCCAAGAGTGTGTATAGCAGCAAGGGGCCAGTCCCCCCCAACTACCCCTGGACAAGCCACCCATGCCTCGGTCCCTCTCCCAGCCCAGGCCATGCAGCCATGCCTTCTGGCCCTGGGCCCTATACACTGTCCAGGCTGGGCAGCAGCAGCACCCCCCAGTCCTACCCAGCTCCCTCCCTCCCTCACTATGGAGGTCCCATCCTCCCCTCACCTGCCAGACTTACCCATGGGAGCTGCTCTCCAGGCTGCCTGGCAGCCACATACATGCACATGGTGCCTGCTGCCTGATCTCCCTTCTCCTGCTCCCCGCAGACCCTTGCAGGCTGTAACACTCCCAGCCTGCAAGGGGAAACCCACCACTTACCACATTTTCTCTTTTAAAGAAGAAAATCTGTGTTTTTCTCCTTAAAATGAGAAAATACTAGTTTTACTGTGTTTTTCCATGGCAAACAGAAAACATGGATCCCTGCTGATCATTACCTGATTTTTTAGTATAGGTGCAGAAGTGCTCATTTTTAAAGGTTATTTTTATAGTGTTACCTTCAATATTCTGAACCCTCATATATGGTGTCTGTTACAGACAGTCAAAGACAAGAAACAGAAGAGTGAGAAGCGTGGATATATACCTTGGCATCATTATGCCTGCATATCTGTCATAGATCTGTGTAGCCAGACCTTTTTGGAGCCTCACACCATTTCCAGTGATTTTTTTCAGGCAATTAGGGCAACCTCAGGGTTTGAGAAAGGAGGCTGTCCTTTATAAACTGTAATCACATATGAACCACATTTCAGGGCTTGTACAGTTTGTTTGAGTACCCTGATTATTAGAGGATCAAACCTAGAACTCTCATCTTATGGGAGATTCCTGGAGTTCAGATTTCTGCTTCATCCTGGATTAGAGTGAAAAGTGGAAATCTTGGAATATTATAGCACATTGTAGGCACTGGGACTTAGAACATACCACCACATCACATAACACATCACACAATATGTCACCCCCTATAACATATATGCCAAAAAGATGAAGTCAAAGAAATGCTTTGGTAATTTATTATGGAAAACTGCAATTCAATGGATCCATATCCACAAAACATTTCAGTATGATCAAAGCAGGATTCTTCCAATGTGAAAAACATTATGGAAAAGCATTTTTTACTAGATCTGAGCTATCAGATTGGTGTTTTTGGAGAGCAGAGACAGAATAGGTACTGAGGTGGAATGATCTGAATTATGCGTCTTTGGAGTACTGCAAAGTACAATAGCCTTTTACTGTTTGCTTTTGTATGACTCCTGTTAACTTCACTATGATTTCTGCTTGAGTAGAGGATGAATGAGGAGACAGACATTTGTCGTTGTTTATTAGGATGTCATACTTAGATGTTGGGAGGAGGAATTAGGGCCTCATATTATAGTATTATTATTTGTTCCTTGACAGAGACTGGAATGAAAAACTGATGCAGGAGGCCTGCCATTTGTTGGCAGATGAGATGAACCTGTCTCCTTCAGCCCCAGGTGGGATGGTGGATTTCCGACGCATACTCACGCTCAGTTTCTTCTTTAAGTTTTACCTGACCGTGCTTCAGAAATTAAGTCAGCAGCTCAATGGCAATGTGAGTATTGCTCTCTTCTTGTTGTGGGTTGGAGGAGAAAGAGTTAAATAAAAAATTAAGCCGTGCTGCTGAGTACAGAGAGTTGGAAGGCTCTTAGCACATAGAGGCAAAGGCTGTTCCCAGTAAACATTCTGTGTTGGATGTGAAAAGAAACTGTTCTCCCAGCCTCCTCTGCACTGTACAAGCTCCCACAGCTGCCCTGGTCCTTCTGCTCAGCAGGTTCACTAAATCAGTGCTGGCCCACCCACCTCTCCTCCAATGGATTCTGCTCTGTGGCAAATGGAGTTAGCAAGGGAAGCTCCCACTTTCTGCTCCTTCCATGTACTCTTCATACTTTTACCAGGACTATTGCCTTTCCTGTTCACAGAGGCCTGTGGGATTGTTTGCCTTTTATATTGTACAAAAAAGAACTGATGACTGGCCCTTCTATATTAAGAGCATGAACATCTGTCAAGCTAAACCAGAAGCTTTTTCTTACCCCTTATATAGACAAATCTCAAAAAGGGGACATGGAATAGAACTGACTTTATGGGTTACAGATACATGAATCATTAGACATAAAAATGTACAGTCTAATGTTAAAATGATGAAGAAAGTATTATAGACTGTCTAGGAGGGCTGAAAAAGGGGAGACAAAACATATAGAATAAATTGTCATGTTTTTAATATATCTTTGGCAGAATAACTTGAGTGAGATGCTTCCCTCCAGTTACCTGAGTGCCACTGAGCTGTTTCACAAAGATCCCATTGCCAACGTCCAGCTTTTCCAAGTGAGTAGCACTATTCATATAGTCCGGGCTTGGACTCATCTGTATTTCTAAACTCCCTTTATTCTCTTATCTATACTGTGAACATGGCCAGTATTTGGGCTTGCTTGAATACTGCTACTGTTGAGGTCTTTATTCAGGCTTCCATCACTTCCTCATTTGAGTACTTTGCTATTTTCTCCCACAGTTTCCCCTAAATCTTACTCCTGGAGTATATAGTTCCCTGAAGGTTGTAGTCAGATTGGATTACTCTCTCCTTTCAGGACTATGGTTTCTGCTATTTATATCACATTCAGTGGCTTCACATCCAGTTCCAAGTTCAATTTAAAGCTGTCTTCCTGCTTGCCCTACCTGTTGGCTAGCCTCCCTTCTAGCTCTCTCATTGCATATCCACCACATAATCTCCCTGCCTGTTCATTTTACTTCTCCACCCATGATCAGGGAAAAGTTTTCTAGATTTGTAGTTTCCCTTCAAGCTGCTGAGTCACTTGAAAGCAACTTCAGACCCTTTCCTCACCCCTCTTCCAGCAAATCTTTCTAGGTTCACAGGCCCACTTTGGGATCCATGTCTGCATTTCTGGTCAGCTTGTGACGCCAATTCTGGAGTGAACCCAGTTTTTCTAATAGAATTTCTGTAGGGCTCATTACTCCATCTGTAAGTGCTGCAACCTCAAGTGGGAACATAACCCTTAGTTTATGAATGGCTTCTCTACAGCCTCCTTCCACTCCACGTTCACAGTTGCTCACCCTTATTCATTTTGCCCTCCTGCACATCTGCTTCTTCCCATTCCTTTCTTCACTATAACACATGCTGCCCCTTGCCCATCAAGCTTCCTCAGCCGTATCATTGGAATACCCTAAGATAGGAACAGCACTACATAGCTATGTATTTTGCTGCAGGAAGTGCCTCCAGGACAAGCTGTGGAAGATACAGTGGGCCGACCTCTGATGCACCTTTCGGCGGCCAAACAGGCATGCGGAGAGGCTGTCTACTGTGATGACATACCTCACTATGAAAATGAACTCTACTGTACATTGGTTACCAGCACCAAAGCTCATGCCAAAATCATGTAAGCGCTTCCTCTTTGCTAGTAATGGCCGAAGACTTGCCAGTACCTGGTCATCAGAATGTTTGCTGAAGAGGAGAGAGGTCTTCCACTAGTGAAAGCTAGAGTCAGTTGACTGTCATTCATTTCAGGTGAACTGCTGAGCTTTGTGAGCTGCGGCCATTTACACTCTACAGAGAATACATTTAAAAAAGGAGAGAAAACTCTTCTGCTAGTCCATGTATGGTGCACATCTGAGAACACAAGGTTATTACCATGCTCCAGCATGGATGGGAGTTAAGTGCTAAGCAAACTTTTTTTGTGAGGCAGAGGAAAGTCCAGAATCCCTGGCTACTCTGTCTCTTTTATTGAAGAGCGCAGGGTAAAATTGGGAACAGGGACAGGCACAGAGTGGATGCATCTGAGACCTAGGGACATAAATACTGTTTTGAGTGTGCATTTGGGACAAAGCTATGCAAAGACCTTTTGGGCAGGTGTTACTTGTAGCCCTATATTAAGCCTCACTATTAAGGCAGGATATCCTTGTTCTTTTACCTTGTTCTTAGGTGGCTTTGGATCAAACCCTCAGAATAATATTATATGAATGGATGACTAAATTTCTGTTTATGAGCATAAAGATCTGTACATGCTTTATACATCTTTATTTATGAGTATAGATAGTTCAAAACACAGGCTTCAATGACTGTCCAGGCAGGGCATGGTTGGTTAATACAGTTTGCAATCAGGGCAGACAATTGTGCTGTTTCTGCCTAGGGCTTAACATAGCAGATGATGTCATCTATGCCATACTGCCATTATGTTGTAGTATTGGCTGGTTTTGAATGTAATGGTCCTCCTTTCTCCCTAATTTATATGGTGTAGGACAGCTCAGAGTGCATTTTTACATGTGCTACAGCTATTGCTTGGTGTGAGCTTTCTTAAGGACATTCTGTTTCTTTCTGAGAGAGAATTTGAAGTTGCTCACATTTTTCCCAGAATGTACTGATAAAAGTCTAGCGTCATGGTAAACATTGACAGCACTAACTCAGTTGACCCAGTGATTGTGATAGAAACTGCTTTGTCGTCATATCCCAACCATGGCTATTGTAACTGGTCATAGGAGAATACTGTGAACTGCTAACAAAAGCACAATTGTACTTACAGTGTAGACACAGGAAACTATTCTATTTATCCCCCTGAACTATCTTGACATATTTCCTATGATGTGTGGGGTGCCTTATCATGTGTGTTCATTGTATGTTAGCATTAGAAACAAAAAAGTTGATCCATGTTGTACAGGAGCAGGTTAAGTGTGGAAGATTCATCCATATTAGAGTAAACATGTATCAGCCTATAGATTCACTGGGTGAAATCCTAGATCCATTCAAGTCAGTGGGAAAACTCATTTTCTTCAGTGACACTAGATTAATTGTCAGTTAGCAAGTCTACCAAAATGCGTGTGTTTGGTTGTATATTAATGGCTTGGAGACCATTTAGAGGGCATTTCTGATACCTTATTTCAAAAGCAGTGAAAAATAAACTTCTCTGTGAAATTTAGCATAGCCTTCAACTCGTGATAGTTTAAATGGCTCATGCATGACTGCCTGTACATTTAGAATCTCTGTTTTTCAGTGTTAGATGTTCTTTTTATGCATTCCATTCTACAAGTACTTATTTATCAAAAAGCAGCAGCTCAGTGGAAAAATTTATGGCAAAATTTGCATGGGAGTTTTAGGAACTCAAACTAAAGACACTGAAAATATTAAAGGAATTTTGCTGAAGACAAAAAATCATTCAGCTGCAGCAAACCAGTGTCCCTTCTATTTGTAATGGCTCCCTTATTAACCCAGATAGTTATACATTTTGTTTGCAAAATGCCTCAGTGAAACCTTAAGTCACTTGTAATATGTTTTTATGAAGGTCAGTATATAAAAAAAATGAATAGTACTGTGGGTTTTATTGTTGCCTGTTCCATCCATCACTTACAAGCACTCAGTTATGAATCTGTACACAGCTTTGAGAGAGAAATGTTGGGTGAATGCCTCCTTTGTTGACCTCCAGAAAGATATCTACTGATTTCCCCACCCCCTTTCGAGCTTTTGTTTTCATTTACATTGTTTCAGGTGTACATCAATCATAAATGGACCTTAGGGAATCAAAATCTTGCATCCGTATTTCTGCTTAGCAGTGGTTGCATTTCAGTGGTTGCGAAATGGAGCAGTTTATGTTTATGTAGTGTATTTTGTCCCAGTGGAATCCTAAGTTTAACTAACTGTACACAAAGATCAGTCCTCCTATGCACGCACTATAATCTTACTTTGGATAATACAAGGCTATTTTTGGCCCAGTCATAACTTGCAAAATGTGCCATGTGACACTTAACAATCCCAGTGATCAGAAAGATTAGGTATACACTCCTATTTCATCTGAAAGCTGTATATTACAGTGTAGTCTGGGGAAGTAGATTGATCCATTAATTATCAGGCTGGGAGTCAAGATTCATAGACTCTACGGCAAGAAGGGATCATTATGATCATTTAGTCTGTTGTACTTCATAATACAGGCCATAAGATTTCCCTGAATTAATTCTTGTTTTAACTGGATGCTATTCCTATCTTTAGTATTGACTGCTTCTGTGAGCATGGGGAAGTTGCTTCACATCTTCATGCTTTGATTTCCACTCTACAGTCAGAAATAATAGTGTGCATCTATCTTTATAACATTTTTTTGCATCTCTATATAAACATTGCTGTATTGTGTATTAGATTATTCCTTATGTTAGAAATACTTATAATACATTTTCTGATCCTCTTTGGAATGACTGTAGCAACCTGGAAAATACTGGTGTAGTAAAAATTATTTATAACTGGAGCAACATTTAATGGCTGTAACAAAGTGACATTCTATAGACAAAAGTATTACTAAATGATATCTTTAGTCATTTTGGAAATAGAAGTTTGGTCAGATTGTTTACAGGATTTTAAGCTGTAATCAAATTTACAGCCAGGTACTTGTAAATGGTAAGTTTAAGCAGAATAGTGGCCCAAACTACTCTGTATCTCTGTTTCTAAATAAAATACTGTATGTATGCAGTTTGCAAATGGTTAGCAATTAATGTAATACTAAGTTACAGGCAGAATTCTAGTAGTAACGTATTGCAAAGCATCTAAATAGATTAGAGTTTTCTATTACTAATTTCTTAATGTTGGTAACAGTGCAGCAGTCGGTGATTATTTATAACCATCCTGACCTGTGGATTCTGAAAACGTGATTGTGCCCTGCTCTGCACCTTGCATACCCATTTATCTTCATGTAAAAAGAGTGCAAGGTGGAAGCAAAGTGCATGTTTTGATCTGGTGTCATTTTCTACCCATTTGGCACATGTGAACAGCTGTACAAAGGGCAAGACTAGAGAGAAGTAGGCTGTATATATTTCATAATACACCATGTGCACTTCTTTACAGAGCAATGTAAATGCAAGATAATAATTCTCTGTTGCTTGTGCCATTCCTTTCTTTAGTTCTGTAGATACAACTGAAGCCCAGAGTGTCCCTGGCTTTGTGTGTTTCATCTCTGCTAAGGATATTCCTGGGAGCAATGTCACTGGGATTGCTAACGATGAGACTGTCTTTGCTGATGACACAGTATGTAGTTTCTTATTCTTTTTTAAAGGTTATTTCCAAGGAGTAGTACAATGCCAGGTGAGTGTGTGGTTGCTTGTGCACTGAAGCCCTCCACTGCATGATAAAATCCTGACCCTACTGAAGTTAATGGGAGTTTTGTTCCTAACTCCAGAGGGCCCAGAATTTCATCCCCTACCTGACTGCACCTGAATGCTTTTCCTTAGACTGCTTACAGCTGGAACACTCACCCAAACCAATTATTCTTTGTGCTTAGCAGGGGCCATATTTTCTTACAATGGGATGCAAGTAACTCCTGGTGTATGCCTTTGGAGTAGCTTTTGTCATATGAAGGCAGGGAAGAGGTCTGGAATCCCTAAATGTTGGCAAAAAATCATTCCTTTGAATTTATACCAGTGCAGCTAGAAATTAGAAATGTTTCCATTATATGTGAAGGTGTATTCCATTTGTTTTAAAAAGGGGAGGCAGATGAGGGAATATTGCAGAAGGAAGAGAGGAGAAACTAACTTCATGAATAATTTGGATAATAATGGAATCTCCTTTCATGCATAGGTTACTTGTGTGGGCCACATCATTGGTGGTGTTCTCGCAGACACTCAAGAACATTCCCGAAGAGCTGCTAAAGCTGTGAAGATCAAATATCAAGACCTCACACCTATTGTCACAATTGAGGTAAGGAAGCATAGGCCTAGCCTCTGATTAGTCAGCCCAAGACCCCAGAATACACTAGTTTAGCTCTTATACCTGAATACGTAGGGATTAGAGGTGCACCGATATATTGATTGGCTATCGGATTGGCACTGATAAAAGGAGGAATGATGTTATTGGCTATCAGCTTGTTTTGGTCATTGTAGCCGATAATATATACCGATAATTAGGCCTTCTGGCACATGGAATGCTGTGATGCGTAGACTGTGAGACAAGAAAGTATTTGCTGTGGTGTGCACTGTGTGATCTTTATCAACTGTAAATATGTCTCAAAGGTGCGCAATATGGATTTTTTTTAAAGTGTCTGAAAAAAACAACAGATGAGCTGATTGCAAAGTAAGTGCTGCAGATATTTCATGTGATGACAGCACCAGTAAATATTTCAACACAACTAAGTTAATACAGCCCCTCAAGATGTACCATGCTACGGAATACAACGATTTCCTAAAGATGGCTCCAGAAAAGAAAGAATCAGGGCAGGAACAAGCTGTGCCAAAGCAACTATCATTACATGAAGCACTAAAATGTTCACAGAAATTTGGAGGTGGAGATGTCAGGGCTAAAGAAATTACTGTTTGGTGGAATATATAGCTCTGGATGATTGGTATTTTCCACTGTAGAATATACTGGATTCTGCTGTCTCGTTGAATGCCTGGAGCCTTGTTACACACTGCCCAGAAGAAAGTTTATACCTGAGACTGTGCTGCCAGAGCTGTACAGTGTCATTTTAAAACACATATAGATACTGGTTGAAGATGATCATCAGGGATCTGGGTTTTCCGTTCACCATGGAAATATGTGGCAAAACCTAGATTTTATCCTTTAAAGGAGAAAAATGTGGGAAACAGTGGGTTTCCCATTGCAGGCTGGCAGACTTCCAGCCTGTAAGGGGCTGGGAGAAATAGGAAAAGGGTGATCAGCAGGGGGTGCCATGTGCATGTGTATACATACATGTGCACATGGCCACCAGGCAGCCTAGAGAGCAGCTCTTGTAGGTAAGTTGAGTGGTGAGCAGAAATTGAGGCCCTCAGAGTGAGGGAGGGAGGAAGTTGGGCAGGGCAGGGCAAAGCAGGGCTGGGGCTGGGGTGCTGCCCAGCTGGGGTAGTGCGTGGTGCGTGGGGCCTGGGTCTGGAACGCACTGCCGCAGGGCCCAGGTAAGGAGTGGGATGGAGCTGCAGGCTGCTCATCTGAAGGGTGGGGCCTGGCTCCCTGCCACTGTTTGCCCTCCTGGTGGGGCATGGGAGGCACGTGCCTCCCTGATTTGTGTGCAGGGCGGGGCTGGGTGGGCTTGGGCCAGGGCATGGGCCAGGGCTTCTGCAGCCCAGGGGGCAGAACCCAGCAGAGCAGGGCATCTGGTGCGGAGCTCCCAGTTACCACCACTGGGAGCTCCGCACCACCAGGGTGAGGTGCCCCCTGCCTGCCTGGGGCTTGTGGTGGTGGCTTCAAACTTTGGACCTGCTCTGCTCTGTGACGCTGGGTCTATCCTGCTGGGCTCCAGAGGCCCTGGGGGGTTGGGGAGGGCAGCAGGGTAGGGAGCCTGAATCCACAGTGGCCAGCCTGACCCGCCCCCCAATGGGCTGCGCTTTGGCCATGCTGCCTGTAGGGGAGGGGGAACTGGGTTCTGTGCTCTGCTCTGCCACAGCAGCTGCCACCTCCCATGGGCAGCAGCTGGGGCTTGGGCACAGATGCAGGGGGCTGCAGACCCAGGTCCCTGGCCCAGTAGCCTTGGTAGCTGGGCACCCCCTCCAGCAGGGCTAGGGGAGGCGGGGGGCTGTGGGTGGGGAGTGAGGGGCACTGGCAGGGCCCAGGTGGCTGTTGGTGGGGAGTCAGGGGCACTAGCAGGACTGTGAGGGCCGTGGGTTGGGAGTGAGGGGCAGCAGCAGGGCTGGGGGGCTGCGAGTTGAGAGTGAGGGGCAATGGCATGGGCAAGGCACAAGCATATCAGGGCTGCTTAGTATCACAAAGCAGTGAGGGGGGACAGCTGCAGCTGGACCTGTGTCCTGGTGAGCGAAGGGGGCAGGGGGAGCTCTGATTTTTCCATGATAAAAAACCCAGAATTGAATGCCAAAATTTATAGGCATTTAGAGTGTATTTTATTATAGTGATTGAGGCACTGGCAGGCTTCCAAATTGCTTTAAAATTGTAAATATATCAATAAAATCCTGTGTTCAACCAATAGCTATATAGAGAGTGGAGTTTCATTTTAATCATGGAAAAACATGGATTTGGGGGGTTTTAATCGGAGAATTTGTGATTTTTAAACAGAGAAAACCACAATCCCTGAATCATATATCAGCACTTACCTTTACAACTGATATTTGGAGCTCTTATGTGTCACTTATGTCAATGCCGAGTTTAAGTGCCAAATGGATAGATGTGAATTACAATTTACAGAGGACAGTACTACAGGCCCAGGAGCTCAGTGGTTCCCATATGGCTGAGAATATTTCAATGGCATTTGACAGGATGCTTGCAGCATGGAAAATCCCAAGCACAAAAGTTCATGCCGTTATCAGGGATAACACAAGAAACATAGCAAAGGCAACGCAAGACTCTGGTTTGCCAAGCTTATCTTGGGTAGCACATATACCCCGGCTCATTGTGAATGAAGGAATGTTATCACAGCGCAACAAGTCTGACATACTGGCTATAGGACAAAAAATCGTTGCATGTTTCAAACACTCTCCATTGGCCTATTCTCGTTTTCAAGGTGTGCAGATTGAACTAGAAATGCCTTCCAAGACATTACAGCAGGATGTACAGACAAGGTGCAACTTACATGCTACAAAGTCTTTTGGAGCAGAAATGTGCGCTTGGAGTGTATGCAGTTGACAATGAAAATCCTTGCGACTCTCACCATACATCAGTGGGGGGTGATGGAAAAGTAGTGATAATTCTAGTGCCTTTTGAAAAACTATCACATGAACTGAGTTCATCCTCAGCCTCTGCTTCTGATGTCATCCCATCTGTTGTGCCTTTAAAAAGGCTTTTGAGCAAAGTTACAGATTCAGACCATGGAATTAAAACTATGAAAATCACTTTGCTGGAAGCTGGGGAAATGTGCTTTGTTGAAATTGCATCAGAACTTCTCTACTGCATAGTAATGCAGCTGGATACAAGCTACAAGGACAGGTACTTCACTGATAATAGCGAAAAGCTGCTGCTGGCTACACAAATGTTGGTGATACGCCTGGAGAGAATGCAAGCCAACAGGAATGATGCAGAACAGACAGAACCCACCACAAAGAAATCAAAAGAAGCAGATGACAGCTCTACAAAAGTGAACACCATGTATGATGAGATACTGGTGAAAAGTACCTGTGGGGTAGAAACTGGTGAGGTAAACAGCAATGTAATGCTTCAAAAGCAAAGTTACCTGAGTGAGCCCACACTTCCAAGAAGTGCAAAAAGACTTGAAATACTGGGAGAGCAACAAATACTGAGAGAGCAAAATGATTTCCCATTTTGCCTGAAGCTGCTCTGCCCCTTACAGTAGTGTTGAGAGCAAATGGCTGTTCAGTGCAGCTTAACATGTTGTGGATGAGAAGAGGAACTGACTGACGTGTGAAAAAGCAGAAATGTTGCTTTTTGTCAAGAAAAGCCTTCCACTCACCCACTTGCTATGCTAAAGCTGTGGGTGAGCAATGAGGAAGCTATAAATATGTCTTTTTTTTTTTTTACTCTACCAATACTGTAAGTAATTTATTATTATTATTATTATTACAATGGTTTTACGACTACAAACTGTACCTTCACATTTTTAATTTGGTAATTATTATTTCATGATATGCATTTCTCATGGGTTTATTTTGAATTGTGATTATGCCATTTTTTCTCATTTTGTTGGGGTGATTTTTGTAAAACAAAGTGAACATTGAGTTCTATAATGACTTTGCTGTCAAATGACTCATTATGTAAGTATATAAAATTTATACTGCAAACTACCGTTTTAAAAGTAAAAGTTTTAAAGTTAATATGTGTTTGTTTTTATTTTGTTACAATAAGTTTTTAGAAGCAGGAACACACAAAAAAATCTACCCATCCATCCATCCATCCATCTGTGTGTGTGTGTGTGTTATAAATGAAAAACAAACAGAAAAAAGGTCTATGTCAGTAGTTTAAAATGCCTTGCACTATTACTAAATATTGGTTATCGGATCAGCCAATATGGCCAGTTAATCATTGGCTATTGGAAATCTTTATCGGTGCACCCCAATAGGGGTTTTTAGGGGTTTTTTTTTAATTATGGTTTAGCCCTTCATAGTTTTGATGCTTCTTGCAATAGTTCCCAGGACTGCAGTTTGGTCCTTGCACCCCTATTTTCTGTTATGGCCCAGGAATCCAAAGAATTACATTTCCCACAATGCATCATATTTCTCTTTCTTGGTATGGGGGAAGCTGTATGGAGTCCATTGCCCTGGTGCACTAAGGGATCCAGCCACTAGAGGAGGATGAGATGTAAGGAGCAAACTATAATAGCTCAATTTTAGACAGCATATTTTTATGAAAAATTAACATTTTCCATGGAAACAGACATTCTTTGCAAACATTTCCTTTGTTGAAAACCCATTCTGTCTCCCTAACAAAACTTAATATTTGCTATGATTCTCAGGAAGCTATTGAGAAAAAGTCCTTTTTTAAGCTTATAAGGAAGATTAACAAAGGAAATGTCCAGAAAGGATTTGAAGAGTCTGACCACATTTTGGAAGGTGAGTTATCATTTCTTTTCAAACAAGATAGTTGGCAGCAAATAACTATAAAATAAGCAGTTATGAAATAGTGAGTACAGAAGGAACTGTTTCAAAATGCCTGGAATGAATTATTCCATAATAATTCCACATTTAGACACTCTTCAAGAATAAAAGTCAAATGACTCAGGAATAATTACGTGTTTAGTGAGATAATGTCCACACAGGGAGCTGTTCTGTAATGGCTATTCCAGAATACTTTATTCTCTTAGAATAACTCTTGTGGTTCATTTTCCATGTGGGCAAGGACTCAGAAGGCTACATCACACTGAAAACATTACATTGAAGTAGACCTCTTCCATAAATAGATCTACTTCATGGTAATCTCCATATAGATTGCTGCCATGGAATAATAGAGCTTTAGGAGAGAGAGATACATTTGTAGACTTTTTTTTTTTTTTAAATCCTATTGCTATATATGACTACTTCTCTTTAAAGATGTTTTGGTTATTGTGCATTGCTGTCTCCTGAAAGGAAGAAATGCAGGTGTCCAGTCAGATCTGCAGGATAATAATTGGATCTCATAGATAGATCATTGTTACTTTAATCCTGGTTTAAGACAGGGGGAAATAGTGAATTTCAACTGCAGACCATGAGTTCTGTCACCTGCAGGAATGCAATTGGAGAAACCAGAGAAGGAACAAAGCAGCAATTAAGGCCATAGATATGGTAAACCTGTAGGTTTCTGATCACATTTTTATTGGTTCTTCAGGGGAGATGTATATTGGTGGGCAGGACCACTTTTATCTGGAGACTCACTGTACCGTTGCTGTGCCAAAAGGTGAAGATGGGGAGATGGAGCTCTTTGTGTCCACCCAGAATCTAACAAAGACACAGGTAACTCTCAGTTGTCCTGCTCTCTCTGGTTAATTTGCTTTTGTGGAGGTTACTCATATTAGGCTGGGATAAACACTTACTTTGTTATTGGTTCTAGTTTTTGCTTGTGTGAACATATTGGACTAGCTTGGATTGCTCAGAGGGAAATATAGTGAAATAATTAGGTCACCAGGATTCTTAGTCCAAGTAGCATGGGCTTATCCCACAAAAAATTTCCATCTTGGTTTGCACCGAGTGCTGATTACCATATTTCCTCAAATCCAAGATGAGGACCCCCCCGCCATTACACATAGGGAAAAATGCTCCTTGTCTTGGATATGAGTACAAGGTAAGGGGAGAGAGGAGGGCAAATGTCTGCTGCAGCTCTGACCCTGGCTCCAACCTGACATTGAGGTTGGAGTCAGAGATAGAGCTGCTGCCCCCCTCATCATCTCTGCATACTCCCAGCACCTCTGCCTCAGCCTCTGCTCCTTCCCACTGCATACTCTGTCGTGGCTCCGCCCCCCATACAGATGGGGGCATAGAGCACATGGAAGCTCTGGCCCTGGTCCTGGCTCAGCTACACAGCAGCAGCAGTAGTGGCAGCGGCTCCAGCATCCTGGGGCTGGAGCTGCTACCTCTGCAACCACTGGTCATATGGTAAGTGGTGGGAGTGGGCAGGCAGCAGCGGTTGCAGGCACTTCTGTTTGGGTGGGGGGGGGCAAGGGATCTGGTCTGGCCACCCTGAGACAGGATACTGGACTTAGCTGAGCTGTTGGTTTGGCCCAGTGTGACAGTGCCTACTTAACTGTTTAAAAATACCCTACTGCTAGACAAGGAAAGTAGGAAGCAGGGGCCTTGGGATTCCAGTTCTTTGGTTCCAAGCTTCTTGCGAGAGGACACTGATTGATGATCAGGGAGCCATTGCTGCTGGTGAAGATAAGACCCATATTTTTGGAGGCTATATTATATGCCCATGTACTTGTCTGACCCCCCCTGGCAAATTCTCGAAGTGCTTACATTGAGGCTACAGATAATGAAGATAACAGATCAAGCCTGAGAGATGCTATTGTTTCTGACTCCCATTGCTAACCCTGCTGTCTGTATGACTAACATCTTTTCCTTTTCCTGTAGGAATTTGTTGCCAATGTATTAGGTGTGCCCTCAAATCGAATTTTGATTCGAGTGAAGAGAATGGGAGGAGGGTTTGGAGGAAAGGAGACCAGAAATACTATTTTGTCAACAGTTGTAGCTGTAGCTGCATTCAAGTAAGTGTTGGTGCTGAGGGGTGGGGTCATTCCTCACTCCACAGCACATAGTACTGTTTTTTTTATATTATTAAGAAGAGGAAGCTGGTAGATGTACTTTTGGATCAGAACTTGGGCTTCAGCACTTGTTTTTCTGTAGTAGGATTCTCATCAGCTTTTCATTCCCAAATGGCTTGTGAATTTCTAGGGCAGGTCAATAATAGTATTTTTAGCTGGAAAAGGAAATATAAACTTCTTGTAAGTAGGTGCAGCCCTTGAATGGACTGTTCTTACAGAGGAATGTAATAGCAATAAAATGTGGAGAACAGTGGGATGTCACCTATATCTGAAGAGCCTAAAGGAGAGAAGCCACATGCCTGGACTATTGCTGTGTCCATAAAGCCATTGTATATGATGCTCTCTGTCCCTTCCCTCCGCTGAAGTGGGTCCCAACCTTTGTTTAGAACTGAACACTAAACCTTGTTTCAGCAACACTGTGGAAAATAAAGGTGCAACAGCCAGTTGTGTTATCTATTGCTTTGTGTTGTCTATTGCTACCTAACCTGGACCACCACTTCTCTACCTCTCTCTTCTTTTGTTCTTTCTGGCTACACTCACACCTCCTGCTTGTAACTTGAAAAGGCCCCAAGCCATAAAATAGTGAACCAGGCTTCATAAGAGCCAAAATTCAGGGATGCCTGGATTTGGAGTTTTTGTTCCATCCAGATTGTGACCATTTGTGAGCATTGGATTAGGATCTGGGTTTGGGATCCCATACAACCATTTCAGGTTTTCATTGCTGGAGTTTTGATTTAGGTCTCTGTCTCTGCGCACCGTTCTTGTGGTTTTAACTGAACACTGACCATGAAGTTAGAGTTGCATGGACCACACATTACATGCCCAGTTCCATTTCCGTATTTCCCATAGTAGCTCCTGCAAGCTTGGAGGCACTCTGTTGAGAGTCCTGCTCATGTTCCTTGCTGTAGCAATAACTTTGACAGGGCATACTGAGGTTGCTTACTGTGGCAGAAAGTATCTAAAAGGGAGCTTATATGCCCAGGCAACTTTTTCCTTTCAAGTTCAAAGCAAGCATCTTGCCTTTAATGATAAATCATTAAAATGTGTTGGTTGTTCTTCTGTCCTCTGTCAGCCATAAAAGTTATTTCATGTCCCCAGATGTTTCTGCTTGGAAACATCAGGAAGAGCAGTGGAAGGATGTCAGACTCAGACAGAGAGGGAGAACTCCTCCTGCTAAAGGTGAAATATAAAGTCAGTTAAATAATTAGTCAGCTAAAGTCAAGAGGTCAAACAGGGCTAGTTAGCATACCCCTGTTACATAATTAATATGTATTTTTTTCCTAGCGAAGGTTAGAGCAATACTCTGAGAAGCTGGCTAGAGAATATTAAAGATTATGCATTAGCTTCCATGTTCCTAAAGAGCCATATTTTTGCTGTTTAGTATGAGTACCATTGCAAGAATTTTGAGGAATATCAAGTCCCATTGTGTGACAATTTTCTACCTAATCCATTTGCTTAAGAGAAAATAGAAGAATCCTAGTGATCTATCTTATGTGGCTATTGACTTTCTGAGACTTAGCTGTTTAGGAAGATTATTCCAAAGGAGATGGGCCAGTAAATTTCAAGCTCTATATGATGAAAAGTTTTCTTTAACAGGACTGGTTTTCCAGTACGATGCATGCTCGATCGTGATGAGGACATGCTAATTAGTGGTGGAAGGCATCCCTTTTTGGGGCAGTATAAGGTATGAACTATTTTTTTAAAAGTGTGTATTATTTTAAACATGTCCTTTAGGAAGTGAAAGGGATTGAAATGAGCTAATGTGTGTGTTTGTGTGCATGTGCATGTGTGCGTTTGTGTTTGTGTCCACTGCCCTCTAATGGACAGGATTAGAGTAGGTCATAGTTGCTGTACATTCTCCCAGAGAACAAAGATTTTCCTCTAACTCCAGCAGGAAGCCAGAGGTTTGGAGAGAAAGATTTGACTTTGGTCTTCGCTGTAGCCATAACACAGGGGTGGGCAAAATACGGCCCATGGGTGATATCTGGCCCATGCAGGGTCTTTGTTTGCCCCACAGTGGGTCCTCCTTGGTCCCGCCTAGCCCAGGCACCATCTAGCCATGGTGCGTCCTGCCGCCTCCTAGGCATGCAGCAGGGTTGGGGTGGCGCCATGGCTGGACTGCCTTTCTAGGCAGCCCAGATGGTGACGGCTCCTTCTGGTAGACGCTGCTGCTGCTCCAAACCCGTGGTACTGGTTGGGATCCATGCTGCACAGCTCAGACCTGGCCTACCCAGCATGGATTTATTAGGGGGAGATCATGTCAGACCAACCTGATTGCCTTCTACGATCAGGTCACAAAGGCCATGGATGCAGGTGTCGCGGTGGATGTAGTCT